GGTTTTTTTTTACTTCTCGACCGTCTAACGACACGACAGTCGCAAAAAGTAAATAATAAATTAACGTGTAATAAGAACAAAGTGAAAAATTAATATGATTCCCTCGAATATTTTCTATCTAGGTTCGGTTAAATTCTGAAGTCGATTGTAACAATAATTAATGATAACAAAATGTGGGAGGGAAATAAAAAAAGGGAGGAGGAGGGAGCATGGCACTGATAAAAAAGTTTGACGTTATAGATGACGTCATCATCATAATAATTCGAAGTAAAAAAAAAAGAAGAAGAAACATATTGCGACGCAGGTGACGACGATAATTAACTCTTTAATTTCCTCCTCCATTTTTTTTTTTTTTAAATATTAAAATCCGTTACGTTTTCTTTTTATTTCTCCACCCCACCCCCCTCTCGCCCGACCAAAATCCATAGAGTAAAAAAAGCATTAAAAAAAAGAAAGGAAAGGAAAAGAGTAGAAAGAGAGGTTAAAAATTCATTTTGAAAAGTTTTCATTTCGTAATCGGTTTTCATTTAGAAAATGACTTCATCGAAAACTTTTTTTTTTTTTTTTTTTCTTAAGGGTTATTATAATAAATGATTTTTCACAATCTCACCGATTTCATGCGAATGAAAAGTTTTTATTATTATTATTATTCTTTTTAAATCTTTCTTTTCCCACTTTCTTTTATCCCATTACTTTGCCCCCCTTCCTATCTTTCTTCTTCCACGTTTTTCCAATTTCGACCAAAAAGAAAAAAAAATCCATAGCATCAAATAACAATTAAGATTTTAACGGCGGCTTTTCATTTTTTTTTTTTTAACTCATCGCCCCGCCCATTTTTCCCCCTCCCCCGCTATTCCACTTTCCCCACCAACCGCAACCATAGTTTTATCTCTTCCCCATCCCACCACTACCTCCCCCACTCCTGCACTCATTTTTTAAAAGTAATTTTTACCGATTGTTTAATTAAACGATGATTAAACATTTTCTTTCTCCCCCTCCTCCTACTTCCTCGCGACAAATTCGCATTTCCAAATTTTTCCCTCCTTTGCCGCCATTTTCTTTTCTTTTTAAAATTCCCGCTCTTTAATTATTATCTTTAAAAAAAATTTCTCCAGTAGATGTCACTATTTTTTTCATATATCAACGTTAATAAATAAATAAATAAGGACGTAAAAAAAAAAAAGTTTAAATTGAAATACCGTTGAGACTGAAAAATCTCCTTCCCCCTTTCCCTTCCTTCTCCCTCCCACATTGATTCAAAATTTAAAATGTTTTTTTTTCTTATTCTTCTTTTTCTTCTGTTACATTAAACGGAATGATTGATTGATTAAAAAAAAAAAGATTGGAAAGGAACGACGACAAGGTTTCTATTCCAGTGTGAATACTTCTATACTATTACTTACTACTAACTACTACCACTACCACCACTACCACTCCATCTTCTTAATTATGATGGATTGTTAAAACCGAAGCCATTAAGTCATTTATCATGGATTTAAAGAATTCCAAGAACAATAATAATAATGATGATGATAAAAAAGAGATTTTTACAAACGAATATAATTATCATTATTATTATTTTAAATAAGAAAATGTTTGATTTAAATATAAATTATCCTCCTTAGGGTTTGGGAAAAGATGGAAGGGAAAGGAAAAAAAAAGAAAACGAGCTGTGGAACGACGAGGGAAGAGAGGAGAGAGGAGAGAGGGTGTTAAAAAACGTTTTTCGCATATTTTCTTTTAAAAAAAATTTTCTCGTAAACGTTATATCCTAATATTCAAAACATTATTGTTGCTGTTGTTGTTGTTGTTGTTCACGTTTTCCTTCTCATCTCTTTATAGTTCCCCGAAGCGGTATAATATACACATACACAAATATATTTTCTATCTTTCTTCTATAACCCCCCCACCCACACACACACATTCCTCCTCTCTCTCTCTCTCTTAATATTTTTTGGCTTTTTTGTTGTTGTTTGTTAGTTACACAAGAAATAAGGTTACATCTTTTTTGATAAACGTGTCAGACAATAAATTTTGATACAAAAAACAAAAAAAAAAAGAGAGAGAGAGAGAGAAAGAAAACTTTTAAATTAAAAATTTAACGTTGAAAATAACGACATTTTCGGGTCGCATTTATTTCCCCTCCCTTTCTCCCTCCCCAAAAAAAAAAATTCCTTTGAAATTTTTTTTTAACTTATAACAAAGGAAAAACGTTATTTTTTTTTATTTATTATCGAATTTAATAAACATATGAAGACGAAAAAAAAAAAAAAAATTTTTTTTCTTCCGTTACGACGAAATCAATTATCGGAATTTTTTTTGAATTTCCCTCCATTTTTTTTTTTTTTTTAGAAAAAAGAAAAAGAAAGAAAGAAAGAAAACCAATATTTTGATTTAATTTTTATTAAAGTTTTTTTTTTTTAAAGTTGGATGCCTTGTATAAATTTTTTTTTTTTTTTTAATAAAAAAACGATGAAATTTTTTTTTTTGTTTCCAGAACGTTCCAGAAGAAAAAAGCAAAAAATTCGTCGATTTCATAATCACTATTATTACACTTCCGGTTTATTTATTTATATTATTTTTCCGAGATTTTTCTTCTAACCTTCACACCCTCTAACGTTTTTGTTTTCTCCTTTTTTTTCTCCTTTGTTTGTTTGCTTTTATCAATATTTACACATTACAAAAATTACTCTTTATTATTATGATGTTATCTCGATAATAATAATAATAATAATAATAATGTTATGGAATAACGAACGAACGAACGAATATATATAATTTTTATAAAGAAATCGAATAATCAAAGGAATAAAACCGGAAGTTAACGCAAAAGGATTGGAGAGGGGAGAGAAAGAAAGAAAAACCGAACGTGGCTTTAGAATATTTTTCTTTTTTTTTTTTTTTCATTATCGTCACGCAAAACTGTTGCTCTACAACATCATATCTTTCTCCTCTTACATTTTCCCCCCTTCACTCCCATTCATTTCCGTTTATAATTAATTCGTCGTGTTTTTTTTTTTCCAGAAAGTATAAAAAAAGGTTGTTGTAGAGTTATAAAAAAAAAAAAAAAGGAGGGGCACTTAAGGAACAATAAATTTACTTAAAGTTTTTTAAAAACCGTCAAAATAGGTTTAACCTTCATTTATCCCACCTGCGTCTCTCACGAAAAATGGCGACAACAACAACAACAGCGACAACAGCAAAGCCAACAATCATCGTGTTAAACTTTTGCTTTATCCCTTTCCCCCCACTTTCTTCCACAACTTTACGCCGGAAAAACAACAAACAAACAAACACACGCTCACGCATTAACTCACGCACACACGTAAGGGATAAAAACTTTTTCGTTTTTGCCCCCTCCCCCAATAAACTTATTAATAAGTTTTCTTATAAATAATGATAATGATAAAATCGTGAGAGAACACGTTTATTTCTAAAGTTTTGGATGTTGCAGACGAAATTACAAGGGACTAAATGGGTAAAAGATCGTACAAACAAATAAAGAAAAACTCACCGTTCGGATGCAGAGATCCAGCTCCCAAAAGTACGTCAATGCTACTTTCCGCAAGCATTTCCGTTTCCTGGTAACTTATGCTTAAAGTTGCATCTTCCTGTTGCAACCTTGCCAAAACTGACGCAAGGCCTGCCTTGTCATCAATATCATCCGTGTCACGTAATTGAAGGGTCACCCCTTCGGAGGTAGTACTGTACATAAAAACAGCATGAGGAGGTGAAGCGTAATTGGTCTGTAACGGCAGACGAACACCAGGTACCTCGTGTATACTCTGAAAAAAAAAATTAAACGTATTAATGACGTCACAAAATTATAACGGAAACTCGTGCGTAACCGTCTCTCCACACACACGCGCGTCTACGAAATTCTAAAAAGGAAAAAAAAAATCTTTTTAAGATAAACAACTTTAAAAAAAAAAAAAAAAGCAAACAAACAAACAAGACAAAGGAAAAAAAGAAAAAATTGTTTTCCGCTTCGGAAAATATTACAAATAAAAATGGCGTCAAATAAAAAAAAAAAAAAAAAACTTTTTTTCTTTTTTTTTGCTTTTCTCTATGGAAGCGTGTAACTAAAATTTTCGTCTGATAAAATTTTTTTTTTTTTTTTTGTGATTGGTAAAACTGAAAAAAAATTTTTTCTTTATATTTTTTTTTTCTTTTATTGTTTCCTTTCAAAAATTTATTTTTGTGCGTGTATGCGTGTGCGTGCGCGACCGAATACGTAAATACATAACAAAGGAAAAAAAAAATTTTTTTTTCTTCCTTTTTTTTCGTTGTTTAAAATTTTTTTTATGTTAAACAAGTTTCGAAATGTAATAATAATAATAATAATAATAATAATAATAGTAATAATAATAATGATAATGATAATAATAATAATAATAATGATAATAATAACGACGACGACGACAATGATGATGATGATAAAACATTTTTTGCTTTTTATGTTTCGTTTACCGAAAAAAAAAATTTTTTTTTTCCTTTTCCTCTCCCTTCTCTCCCCTCTTTCGAATTTTTTTTTTTTTTGTAAAGTTGGCATCAAAAATAGTATAATCTCGTAAGGAAAATTTTTTTTTTTCTTTCTCGGTCTTTTTCGTAAACGTTTATAATTTTTTTTTTAAGGGAACGAAAACCAACAAACGGATTTAGTCATCATCATCATCATCGTCTTTTTCCGACTACAAAAAAAAAAAAAAAGGAAAAGAAGGAAAATCGTTGAAGTGAAGAGAGAGAGAGATAGATAGATGAAAAAAATTTTCTTCTTTTTCTTTTTTCCGTATTCGTTCGACCGTTAAAGAAAATAAAATTTAATTTGGGTTTATATGAAATAAAATTTTAGTCTCTCGTATGAATTTGTTAAGAGAAAATTTTCTCTTTCTCTCTGTCTCTCTCTATTTCTCTCTTTTCCTTTTATTTTATCTTCTTTTTCTTCTGCTTTTTCGAATATTTCCTCCCCAACTTCTCCACTCTCCTACCCCTATCCCCATCTTGTCTCCATCTCTCACTCTCTCACTCCCTCTCCATCCATACATCCGTACTAACCGTTCAAGTTTCGTTTCCATTCGTTCCCTTCCGTCCCCTTTCGTTTCCCTTCGTCTCCTTCCGCCTCCTTTCGGCCCCCTTTCGCCCCGTTTCGCCTCCTTTTTATTTTATTTATTCGATTTATTTCTTCTTAGTTTAGAATTATATTCAAAAAGGCATAATGGATGAATGGAAAAAACCTTTGAACGAACGAAAGTTGAAAAATTCACTTTATTTTTATTTTTTTTTTAAGGAATATTTTTAATAATAATAATAATAATTTTACAACGGTTTTAAAATTAACCTTTTTTTTCTTTTTTTCTTCTGCTTTTGGCGAAAAAAAAAAAAAAAATTAAAAAACTTTCCGATCCCTCCCTCCCTTCGTTTTTTTGTCGATACGTGTAATAAAAATTTCTTGTCATGGAATTTGAATTTAAATTTGAATTTTTTTTTCCCTTCCACGAAGGAAATGAATTTTTCAAAAATAAATAAAATCGTGGTTTTAGAAAAAAAAAAATTTTTCGCGAATTTTGTCGATTTATCGATGGATCGATCGATCGATCCTAACGTTTTCTTTGTTTCTTTTTTCTTTTTTTTCCTCTTTTTTCTTTTTTTTGTTATCCTTTTTACAAATCTCGAGAGAAAATTTAAAAAATTTCATTCCGTATAAAAAAAAGGAAAAAAAGGAAAAGAAGAAAGGAAAAAAAAGGAAATCAACGAAACGTAAAATCACAGGTGAATCAAAAATCAATGGTTTTTTTCCTTTTTTCTTTTTTTTTAATTTTTTCAATTATAAAAAAAAAAATAATAATAATAATATATGATTTTTCCAACATTTTCCTTTTTTTCCCTTTTTCTTTTCCTTTTTTTTTTTACCACCGTCTACAATTTTCTTTCTTTTCGAATTAAAACTATTGAAAAAAAAAGAAAACGATTTATTTTACCCACATCGTGACAAGTTTTATAAAAAATGACGTCATTGAACGGAAACGGTCGAAAAAAAAAAGAAAGAAAGAAATTAAACAAAGGAAACGATACAATTAATAATAATAATAAAAGGAAATGCGGTGAAAACAAAAAAAAAAACAGGTTTCCTTTTTCGATTCGTTTTGTTTATTCATTTTCGAATCGAAAATTAAAAAATTTTTGTTTTTCGGTAAAATAAACAAAAACGCGCGCGTTATTACGAAATAATAATAATAATAATAATAATAATAATAATGATAATAATTTCCAAATTTTCCCATATGAAACTTAATTAAATTTATTACCGCTATTTTTTTTTTTTTAAATCGGTTATATTACGAACGTAGATGTGGTACTAGACACATAATTTAAAAATTTTATTCTCTCTCTCTTTCTCTTTCTCTCTCATTCTAACATCGAAATATACAATGTGGGAATACACGCACACGCACACACACCCCCCGACCAACCAACCCGGTGGCAATGGCGGCGGTGGTGATGACGGTGGCGCTTACAGGTCCGATCGATTTCCTTTTTTTTCCTTTTCGCGATTATCATTTTCCGTTGAAAAAGCAATTTTCCTTTTAATATTCGTCCGTCGTATATACAAATAATATGAAATCGTTTTTCTTTTTTTTTTTAATTATTTTATTTCGAGTTTTTTTTTTTTTTTTTTTTTTTTGCATTTTGTTTTTATGAGTTTCTTCCGTTTCCGGTTCGATAATTATTATTTCTCATATCGATAAAAACCTCTTGAAAATTTATTTATTTCTATCACTTTTTTTTTTGGATTTTTAAATTAAATATCGAGTATTTTATAAAATAATAAAAGAAAAAGAAGAAGAAACTGAGAGGAGGAGGAAGAACGGGGGGAATGGGAAGGGGGAAAGCTAGAAATAAAAAAGAAAACGTCGGAAAATCTCCAAAAAACTTCCCGAATATAGTACACATAAATGAAATTTTTTTTTTTTTCAAAATGGCAGATTTGAAAATCGTTTTAAATTTTTTTACTCTCCATCGATTCTTAGGGAAAATGCGTGCGTGTGTGCGTGCGTGCGCGTCCCCACGTATAAAAAAAACGGTCACTGGATAAATTAAATAATTTTTTTTTTATTTATAAATTTTCGACACGCAAAAAAAAAAAAAGGAAAAAATTAACATTTTACGTGAATAAGGTTTACGTCACGTTACGGTTATAGTCACGCCTTTTTAATAGAAAAAAATAAATAAATATAAAAATTTCATAAAAAGCAGAAGAAAAAATTTTTTTTTTTTAACGTAACCATCTCGTCTTCTCTCCTCGTTTTCCCTTTCCGTTGGTGTGGGGGGAAGTTGGGGGGAGGGGGTGGTTTCCCTTTCCATCAAATATTCGAATAAGTTTTTTTTTTTTTAAAAAAATTCAACGAGGTAATTTTTTTTTAACTATCGTACGCGGACGGGGGTGGTAAGGAGGAGAGAGGAGGTTAAAGGTTAAAGGATTAAATACATGATAGGCGGGGGGGGGTAAGAAAAGCTCCCGTTACTTTTTTTTTTAAACTCGTGAAAAAATATAATAAATTTTAGTATTAACTAAATGGGAACAAAAGTCGTCGGCCTAAAAGGGGAAAAAAAAAAATTTTTTTTCCGCTGGACAATTTCCAAAATAATATAGCTTTCGTTGGTAAAAATTTAATCGAAAAAAGAGAAAGAGAGAGAGAGAGAAAATTTGGGAAGGGGGATATGTCGAAAAAAGAGAGAGAAAGAAAAAAGGAAAAGGGAAAGAAGGAAAATGGGGTGGTAAAATTCGTTGAAAAGAAATAGAAAAAATATATATAAAAGTACGTCATAAAATAAAAGGGAGGAAGAGAGACAGAGGATAGGAAAATAAAACATTTCAGAAGAGAGAGAGAGAGATATAAAAAGAAAGTAGAAAATTTCAAGAGAGAGAGAGAGAAAGCAGAAAAGTGGGAAGGTAAGGTACGTTAAAAAGAGAAAAAATACACAAAAGTAAAACGTGTTTAAAAAAAAAAGAGAGGGAGAGAGGAGGGGAGTTGGGAGGGAAGGAGAAATAAGAAGAGGGGGAAAATGGTAGGTGGAAAGAGAGAAAAAAAAGAAAATGGACGAAAATGATGATTTCCAATGAGAATCATCTCTTCGACATAGTAAACTTTTTCACATTATTGTAATCGATTCTTTTGTTCTTTTTACCTTCCCCTCCTCCTTTTCCCTCTCTTCCTCTTTCTCACCCTCCCCCTACTTCTACCAACTTTCTCTCTCTCTCTCTTTTCTTATATTCCCATTCCATTAAGCTGCCAATGCCATTTGCTCCCCCTTCTCCTCGTTCTCCCCCTTCTCTTTTCTCTTTCCTTTTTTCAACTTCAGAATTTTTTTCTTTACTCTCCCCACTCCCTACTCCCCCCTTCCAAAAAAAAAAGAATAATTTCATACGGTCGACCGAATCTCCATTTTATTTTATTTTATTTTATATTTGGAAAAATAAAATAAAATTGAAGTGAGAGAGAGAGAGAGAGAGAAAGAGAGAGAGAAAATGGGAAATCCAAAAACGAAAGAGAGAGAGAGAGAGATAAAAAAAAAGAAAAATTTAATGCATGGTCAGAGTCATCATCATCATCTTTTGTGCATCTGACAAAGTGAATTTTTTTTTTTTTTTCCTTTTTTTCGTTTGACGTTTTAACTTTTTTTCGTCGTTCAACCTAAGAATATAAAAACGTCATCGATTACGTCATGATTTTATTTTATTCACACGATTTTGGCGCGAAATTTAAATTTCAAAATATTTTTCTTATCGATAGAAAATAAACATAATCAATTCATTTATTATCATTTTTTTAAAATCTTTTTTTCTTCTAGAAATTTCCATAAAAATAAAGAAAAAAAATTATTTATAATAATAATAATAATAATAATAATAATAATAATAATAATAATAATAATAATAATAATGATAAAATCAAAGTTTTGATTTATGAACGAGGTTTCACGTTAACGTAAATTTAAATTCAAGTTTCTGAAATTTCGAGTATCGAAATTAATCGGTCAACATCTGCTGCCGCCGCCCCCCCATTTTAACCGCGACTAATTATTTAACGTTTAACCTAAATTTATAATTTCTCTTTTCCCCTCCCTACACTCTCGTAATTTCCCCCCATTCCTTTCCCTCCAGACACGTTCACCCTCCATATCACTTAACAAAAATTTTTTTATTCAAGTTTCGGGAGAGGGAGTGACAAAAGTGGCAGCGTTGAGTGCATGCGTGAATGTGGGGGAGGATGGGGAGGTGGGGGAAGAATGGTAATTCAGTGAAAAATTTTTTTTTTTTTTGGCTCCCTACCAAAAAAATTTTTTTTTTTATCATTTTTTCCTTCAGGTTCTTGAAAAATCGGACTTTTAGACGACGAAAATAAAAAATTCAATTTTCCAACAAACAACCTGGCGGAAGAGAGGGAGGAGGAGGAAATTATATTATTATTATCATCATCATCATCCTGTCATTTAAGCTCAAGTCGTTTAGCACACACGCGCACACACCCACCCACACACAAAAAAATTTCCTCGTCATCGATATAGCAAAAACGTAAACGCAAAGTCACTTTTATCAATAACGATAAGAAATTCAACTTTGACCTTGCATTTGAACCCTTATAAAAAATTTTACGAGGGGAGGGTGGGGAGGAAGGGAAAAGAAAAAGAAAGAAGAAAACTCATCGACGTTTAATTTTTTTTTTTTTTCTTTTCCTAAAGTTTATAGAAAAGAAAGTTTTTTAAAAAGTAGTTTTGAAACATTATTAAAGAAGAAGAAGAAGAAGAAGTGAAACGTGACGAAGTGAAAGTAAATAATAAGATGAAGCGGAAGTTTTCAAAATTAAAAAAAGAGAAGGAAGTAGTTGAAAGTTATGTAAAGAAAGAGAGAGAGAGAGAAGAAAAAAAAACGCGCGAAAATAAAAAAAAAATTTTTTTTTCTTTTTTTTTGTTAAAATTCTTAAATAAAAAAAAAATTAAT